TTCCCCCCTTCGTTGTGTCTTGATCTGGTCAGAAAAGACCTGAACCGGCACCCCTGCAGCAAATTACCTTTTTATGATTCTGTATTGCTGTTATCAGTAAACAATTGATCACTGCTGTAGTAATCTGTTACAGATCTGTCTGATCACAACACTTCTCCTTTTACATAATGTGGAACATTGTTTCTCTGCACTGCTACACAGTGCTCTATGGTGCACTCTAGAATAATCTGAAGCTCAGTAGATGATGCATTCCAGTGCCAAAGCCCAGCAGAGCTGCTGACCATGTGCAGCTTGCTGTGCTCCAATACCTGAATTTCACTGTGGAGCACAGCAGGCTGCAAACTGAGCTATCATGGGCTTGTTGGGGGGGCCAGAGCTCTAAAATTTGCATGGCACTAATTTTTATGGCTTTTTCTCGTAGCCGCCTCCACCTTTGGTTGGATACAGCGTCACCTCAAAAGACTTTGACTCTGAAAAGAAGGCTTCTCTACAGAGGTTAAACAAGGCACTTGAAGATGCAGCTGGTAAGAACTTCATTCTCTATAAAACTAAACCATGATAGCCTTGTTCTGTGACTGCCTGTAGATATCCTGTCAAATGTCTTGGAGAATGACTGACTGCATTTTAAGCTATTTATAGGGCTTGATGCTACAAAATATGTAGGTTCCTATTCCTTGCTGGAGAAATGCCAGTTACCTGCTGTTGTGCTGATTGTTGGATTCCATTTTTTTGTTACTGACCCAGGTGTATGTAGGTATATACATTCACTTGCTGCATATATAGTTGCCTGGCTGTCCTTTTGATACATTAGCTTCTATAATTTGGGACAAATTTAGGGTAAATAGTTTGGATTTGATTGGCTGCATAATATCTCTGGTTTAGTTGTATAAAGCCACACAGAACTAAGAAACCTGCTTTTTAGAAGGTCGTTTCAGCTACCATGGCGGGGTTAAAGCCAAATTACACCAGAACCACTGTTGTGCACTTTATTTGCCTTTGTGCAGTGATATTCATTCTGAATTCCACCACAATGTACCTGCGGGTGTTGCACCGCAGCAGTGTGCTGCCATAAAATAATGCATGCACAATTTTTTGCCAACACATGGCCGTTGGAAGTTTGTTGGGGTGCCAGCAGACCTTCCAGAATGAATGGTACCGCATGTCACCAGCACAACTGCAAATCGATGGTTTAAACTGGCCCTAAGCCATTTGAATTGCAATATACAATCATGTGATCAAACTAGATTGCTTGCAAAATGGTTAGTGGGCCTGCAAAGCAGCAATTCAGAATCCCAGTGCAGTCATGAAGCCCCATATAGAAGTACTGACCCCCCCCTCCCCCAGCTGATGGCATCTTCTACAGGTTCACCACCAAGACACATAGCTCTTCTATACAAAGTCACTATGTAGAAAATGACTTGTATAGCTCACTAGCAACACAACAGTAACATGGATTCTCTTACCCATTGAACTGACTGGAAATCTTCCCTTTTTTTATTTTATTGCACTTTTCTTTTTAGCAGTCTAAGGTATAAAAGTGGTATTTACAGGGGTTGGGGCATAGAACACTGATGTGGGCACTTAGAATGGTCAGCTTTTATTCATATGGTTTAATCCTGTTCCTACTGCTCAAAGTATTGTCTAAAGTTGAGCTTTAATTTGTCTTTTTAACTCCATCGCGACCACAGACGTACCTAGTAAGTCGGTGGCGGCATGGCCCTGTAAATAGACTGCTGGCTTTACAGTAGAAGCGATTCTGGCTCCCTGGGCAAGGTGACCGGCATGTTGGATGTCTGTGGGAAGCTGGGGAGGAGAGCCGCGAACGTCTATTCACTGATCTCCTCCCAGCGCTATGGGACAGGGAGTGACACGTATTGCGTCACTTCCGGTCCCTGAGCTTTCATTGCTTGGCTCCTGAAGCTGAGCAATAAGCTATTGAAATGCAATCTGCACTTTTAGTTTTTAAAGTGGAAGGTGACACTAGGTCTTTTGGACCCCCAGTGTCACCTTTTAGAGGATCTGTCGCCACCAATATGCTATTGCATGTAAAATGGTATGTAAAAATTGAAGAGAAAAAAACTCTTTAAAGGCCCCCGTGAGCGCATTCACGCAAACGTGTCGGGTGCTCTTATGTACAAAAACTATCGCCCTTCACATGTTTGGTATTGCTGCGCACGCCAGATTAAGAGCAATAATTCTAGGGCCAATATTTGTATCTCTAAACTGATGACCTGAAGGGGCTTTTAAAGCGTTGTCTATGGACTTTTTGGGGTACTTTAGGAATGTGACCATGTTTCCTGTTTAAACATGGTCTGAAAAGTAAAGTTGGCCTTTAATGCGCCTTGGGTGACTGGACTTAGACTATGCAACTCACTCCCCAGGTATAATGTCCTAGACAAGTGTTTGTGAATATTTTGCTGCAAATAAAACAGATCTTCCCTTTTTTTAGTCCTTTCCTAGTTGAGATTAAACTGTGTAAGTAATAATGTAATCTAAAACACTGGTGCTGATTTTTACTGCAGAGGCTGTTATTCTTAAGTTAATGTTGGTAAAGGTGAATGAGGTAAAACTGTTCACTTTGAACACCCAATCCTGCACTGGCATTTTTCCCCAAAGTGAAATGATTTCAATTTGTAAAAGTGAACATTCCCTTTCCTACGGTCAACAGCCTCTGCTCCTTTAGTAAATCACATTTTACAATCCATGAATTTTCTGAAAGCCTTTTCTCCTTTTTTTTTTTTTTCTTTTTTTTTTTTAGGTTCAGCTCCAATCACCGCTGCACCCTCTGTAACTGTAGCAAATACCTTAGCATCGTCTTCTCTGTTCAACCTACCTACAACAACCGCAGCTGTGGCACCAACTTTACCAACCTCCACTGCTAGCAGTAACCCTCTCCTTCTCAGTCTAGCTAAAATGCAGAATAAGGAGGAAGTACAAGGTACATTAGCTGACAGTATGTGAAAATTATGTTGTGTAGACCAAGCCTTCCCTTGCAGCTCTCCCTAGACATGGTTTGTTCTACTACATTATATTCTATTCAAGTCTAACTTTGTTGAAATGCATCAAATACGTAAGAGGTTATATTTCACATTTTGGGCAGGTGCCCTCACTCTAAACCCGTTAAATAGACTGGAATATTGATTTGGGTGATGTATTCCAAAAATCCTTTAAATATCTTTCGTTCCGTGTGTGACAAACGCATGCTGTAAATGGGGAGAACTCCCAGCGACCACAGGTAGGTACAATTATAGTTTTCTAGTGTGCAAACCATATTCACAAATGCATCTGTCCATGTGGAGTATATGTAATACATTTCCAGTCGCATGTAGTTGCAGTCAGGAATTAAGTTGTGGGAGGAAATGCACACCTAGTCCTATTTGTAAATCTCTAAACGTCTTGAACACCATCCAGGTAGCACCTACTTCAAACATCTGCAGATTAGGGGGTGTAATGTACTGGTATATAAAGATGACAAATCTATTCCATCTGTGCAATGAAAATCCACATCGTGTATATGTTGGGCATAGACGGAATTAAAAATGGGCTTTTAATGTACATCTGGTCCATGGATCAAAATGTGACCAAGTGCTAAATGCACTTGGTCCCTTGGGGAATTATAGTCTGGTTTGTTTTAGAAGGTAGTGATAACTTTCAAATACCCAGTAAAGAATCTCCTCATTCAATATTTTTTAAATTGAAGGACTACTCTGTGATTCACAGGACTGTTTTTTTACAGCTATATTTATGATATGCATATTCATTGGAGGACCATCACATTTTATATAGGATATTTACTGTGTATGGATATAGAAATATTTTTCCTCACCTGCTTGGCTTGATATGTAGGGGGAGTGTTGGTAGGTTATGACATTATCCTTTTATTAATGGTGTGGTGTTGGATGTGTTGTGTGGCTTTTTTTTTGTTTTGTTCTTTGAAAATTAGTTTGAACAGTTGTGCTAACATGCGACTTAAAAAATTACAACTGCCACTATCTTATTCTACAGGGCCTCTGCTTTCAGGAAATGTTTAATTCTGGGGGAAGGGGGGTTAAGTAATCTTCATACCTAAAATGTGCATTTTAGCCTGTGCAAAAACTGCTCTGGCAGTGAAAGGGTTACAGTACATAATGCACATTTCAAGATTTGTATCATTTTTTTTTAGTCAAATTTGAAGCATAAAATACCCAGTTTAAGATGTTCCTGAATCTCTTGGTTTTTCAGCACCAGCACAGAGTGTGAATACAAACACCCCAAATGAAAAAGTCCCAACATCGTCTTCATCGTGTTCCGAACCTGCAATTCTTGGCCTCGGCAATCCTCTTAGACAACCTTCTCTTTCTGCTCCAGCAGTTACAGAAAGTTCCATCAATGCACCACCCCTACCATCTGATACCCTGAAGTCTAGTCTGCTTCAGATTCTTACTAAACCATTGGAAAACGATTCACAGTCTGGTTTTAAGCCAATTTTCCCAACAAGTGCGTCTACAACACCCCTTTCGGTTTCCTCAACTGGGCCGTCTACAGCTTCAAATTCTGTTTCTTCAGCAAATACTTTCAAACCAATATTTGGAGATCAGAACAGTCAGCCAGCACCGGCATCAAGCACATTCAAAGCAATATTTGGGGATTCTACAGCCCAGCCACCCGCTTCTTCATCACCTCTCACATTCCAGATGAATTCTGCATCCACTGCTGCCAGCTCATTGTTCTCTGGATTTGGTGCCAAAAGCACCAATACAACTCTCAGTACAGAGAGTACCACTAAGCCTTCTCTGGCTCCCCCCTCTAGCAGCAGCAGCACTACTAACAACTTTACTGCATCTATGTTCTCCTCAGTGGCAACAACTGCTAGTGGATCAAACCCTGCTGCAGTAAACTCCTTTCCTGCAAGTAATGCACCTTCAGATTCCCAAGCCAAACCATTTGTTTTTGGACAGACGCCTACCTCGCAAGCTACTTTAGGCTTAAATATGTTTAGCAGCACCCAGTCTGCACCTACAACAGCATCTCAGCCCCATCAGCCACCATTGTTTGGATCGAACACCTCTGCATTTACAGCTACGATAGGTTCAAATGCCCCTGCATACCCGACTAACTCTGGCACATCTGCATTTAACAGCATCTCAGGGAGTGGCATTCAAGCAGAAAACCCTGCACAAAATTCTGTTGGTTTTGGGTCATCTGCAGCTCCATCTGCATTTGGAACAGGCACCCAGCCAGGTTTTGGAAGCACCTCCCAGCCAACATTTGGTGCTAATGCACAACCAGCATTTGGTGGAAGTTCTGCTTTCGCATTTGGAAATGCTACTCCCGTTGCCTCCAAAGTACCCTTTGGTAATATGAACAGTACCCAGACCAACAGCACCCCTGCTACAAACCTGTTTGGATCAAAACCTTTCCCTTACGGGGAAAACGCTAACTCTGTTCCAGCTTTTGGTACACCAAATGCCACACCTGCCCAGACATTGGGTTTTGGGAACTCTTTGGCTCAGAACAGTGCTATCACAAATCAAAGCACACCCTTGAACTTTGGGACACCGGGACCAGCTGAAAACAAGCTTGCTTTTGGTGAGTGGCCCTTAATGATTTTCTTTCAAAATCTTCCTCTGCAGTTATGTGGTTAAGAGAAAAATACATACTGCTTCTTTCTAAAGCAGGAGTGTCAAATGCCAACTTAAGGGCAATGTTGAGGGTTGCGAATAAAATCGGGGGCCGGACATTAAGTAAAACGAAACGCTGCTGCTTGCCACAGTACAAAGCTTTGGTCCACTAATCATTGTCAGGCCTGGTGTCCAGTGTGTGAGGGCACTAAGTGTCAACAGTCCCTGTCCATTAAAGGGACACTGATCACTGACACTTGTAGTGTCCTCACACAGGGCACCAGGATTGTTGTATAATATACAGGGACTGATGACACTTATAGTGCCCTCACACAGAGGACTCCAGGGCTTTCCTGTAAGAAGACTGTCCTGGTGTGCTATGTGTAAGGGCACTACAAAGGTCAGTGGTCCCTGACCATGATATGATGCTCCTATGTGCATATTAATTGGACAGGGACTGCTGACGTCTATAGCGCCTTCACAGACTGCAGGACCAGACCAAAGGCGCAAGAAACCTGGGGCCCCCTTTACAGCTCCAAGCACTGGCTTGTAAAAAGAAAAAAACCTGCTTGCTGGTACACAGCTCGTGACCGGCGTGCCTGAGAAACTTGTGGTAGGCCAGTTGTGGCCCCTGGTCCTTGTATTGACACATGTGTTAGTCTGCTATAAAATCACCCCAGGATGTTCTTGCCTGCAGTACCTTTTTTTAAAGCCCCCAACCCCCCTTTCCCCCTCCTTTTTATATAAAGGCTGTTTTTTCTTTTCTTAAATGAGCGCCGAGAGCGGGGGACGGAGCGTGGAGTGCGGCGGAGACTGAGCGGATGTAACCCCATACATGCGGATTCAACCCCACATGATCGCACGTCCCGGGAATCCCTAAGTCTGCACCAACCCTAAAGGGTCAATTCACTTTCCTAAGTAATTTGGGAAAATGTGATTCCACTGCAAGTTAATTAGTCTGTGTGAATGAGGCCGTATGCTGTTTACCTCACCTCCAGAATGCTGCTGTGAAAAATGTCCCTTTTTTATTCATGCCATTGAGTAAATTCAGCCTCTTCAGTATCAGACCTGCGGCTCTCTTACAGAGAAGCGCTTGTGTCACTTTATATGCCCTCCTTTTGGAAAATGACCTTGTGTAAACCAGTCACGGGGAGAGGTGGGGCATATGTACAACACGATTGCTTCTCTGATAACAGCCACGGCTCTTGTAGCTCTGCAGCACTAGAAGTACAGCGCTGCCTGTACTTTACAGCATGAAGTACAATTTTTACAGTACACAAAGCAATCTGGACATGGGATAAACTGCAATGAGCATCAGCAGCCAGACATGCAGAAGTGCCATGGCAAGAGTGTTTTCCAGAGGATATTTCTCAAGTGTTAAAGAATATTCATAGCAACACTTATTTTTAAGCGTCATGCCAGCTCTGGAAATGTAGGGTTTAGTTTTGTCTTTTTTATTGTAACTTTTACTACTGTGTGTAAATACAGTAAATCTGGTTGTCCACCTGTTGTACCTTGAAACCCAGGGTGCACTGCAATGCTCAGTGTAGACGGCACCAACCATACTAGTGAAATGTTGAGGGAAGGGTTAATGCTAATAACCAGCAAGTTTGTTGGTACTTGCATTACAGGGCACAATGGGGGTTTGGGGGGCAGAGCTCGGAGAAAGCTTCAAAGGGTGTGATGCAGGGGATTGGATGTGGCGTGGAGTTGACTGCCTGTCATAGTAAGTAGGACATTAAAAAGCTAAATCCCCAGGTTTGCAGAGTTGTAGCATAGAAATGTGGCACTTCCAAAATCTATAGCCATTGTCCCATGTGCATGCTGAAAGGTGAACAGGTTGGGCTTCCTGCCAGTGTGTGCCAGACAAAGCTTTACTGACTTATTTCTCACATCAGGTTCTCAGTTTGGCCAGAACTCCTCCGCTGGACCTCTTCCATTCACAACTTCTACTCCTGCCTTGGCCTCCCCTGGTTCTTTTGGTATGTATTTCAATATTCTGAAGTGATGTTATTTGCAGCACTTCACTTGTAATGGCTTTAAAGTGGATCTGAATTAAACAATTGCTTTGTTAGTCTCTTCTGCTGAAGGAAAACTCTACCTGTCCTAGCAATTTCTAATTTCAGTGCAGTGTACATGCTCGGCATCGGTAAGATGGCGAGGGTTCAGCCAGGTGCTAGAAATGTCACTCCAACACACATGCGCAGTATGTTCTGCATATGTGCGCATTGTGACAGGAACTCCTAAGACACCAGCTGTAAAATACATTCCATAAAATAGCCCGGCAAACACCACTGTTGAAGAGAAATCCTCTGACTTCTGCACTGACTGACCTTTAGGTGTTAATAAAGAGATGTCACCAGCACACCAGACTCCTTCAAGGATAGTCTATCGTGAATTGTATTCAAAACTTATGTCCAATACACAAGCGCTTTCAGGACCACACCGGATCCCTTCATCAGCCATAGGTCACTGCTATACCTGATGAAGGGATCCTGTGTGGTCCTGAAAGCGGTAAGGAGTGCAACAAACCTTTCTCTTCATATCCTGACCTGGTGTCATTTATTTTGTCCCTGACAATGCTCAGTAGTTCCTGTTCCACTTCCACATTGTAAGTCTGTTGCTGGCTACCTCCTCTTTAATAGAACTTTTACAAGCAGCAGTGGAAGCGTCCTCCTGTATAGATATGGTTTGCATAGAAAACTTTGATTTGCATGCAATTTGTTGCAGCTGTAATGATGGTACCAAACATTACCGCTCTTGTAAGTTGCACTAAATGTACCAATCCCTTTTCTGTTCTAGGCCAAGGTACTCCAGGAAGTTTCTCAATTGGTTTAATATCCAAACCTTCAGGAGCACGGCAGAGGGTAATGGCACGTCGTCAGCACCAGCGGAAGAAGTGAATGCTTTGTTTGGAAGAGTTGTGTGCTCCTCAAAGACTGTGTGTTTTTTTGTTTTGTTTTTAATATATAAACGAATCTGAATGGATAGACGCCCTTTGGTGCCAATAGGTTGTGAATATGTAACACACATGTCAGATCTGTAACCTTTTTCATGCAAGGATTGACTATTGCAATGCCAATGGTAATCCTTTTGATGGGTTAAAACAGCCGCAATTGTGACCTGCAAAATGGCACCAATGACACTGCCAAACTGCATCATCTACTGTCTCGTGCATGTTACCACTTTCTCACCTCCATGTCATGCACTTTCCAATTCGGACTGAACAAGCATTGTGTTGCAGGGAAGCGCAGGATTCTGTTCAACTCTGCAAACATTTTTTATTTCATATATCAGTTCTTGAAGATTCTGTTTACTGTTAAGTGTGTTTCTTTACAGTGCCTTTTTATTTGTGCCTCCGCTTCATCTTGCTAACTTATTCAAGGTGTTTTCCACCTAGTAATGAGCAGTGTGAATATGTTCAGCGAGGCAGGAGGGCAGAAGCCCGAGACTGCTACAATTCTGAACTGTTTATAATGAATGTTTTCTGCCCCTATTTCCAAAATACTGAAAACTGACTTGATGTCTGTACTAGACTTGCCCAATGCACTGTACACTTCCCATAGTCCTTCACGTAGACTGTGAAGAATGTCATCTACTCTGTTTTCCTGGATACAGACCACTTCCTGGCAATGGCTTACAAAGGTGTTTTGAGCCAAGCTGGAGTGCCTGTATCTCCTGTAACTCCTGATGCTGGAAGCTGTTAATGATTTAGATGCTGTGTATATATTTTGTATTCCTAAGCTTTGGGATGCTAAGTGTTAGGACTGTCTTTCTGTACAGTTCCTTCCCCTTTGGTGCAGACTGTAAATTAATTAACAAGCCGGCAAGATCTTAAATTATGGCTGTCTGTATTTGTCAGTTATTTATCTGTGTTGTGAAAAATTGTACTTGTAAGCTACCTCTAAGGGGAAGATTGGGAGTGTTAAAGCATGTTCGAATGAGATTGTGTGGTAAGTGAAATAGTAATCTAATGTGTGCTCTGCCATTTGACCATTTTGTTTTTTAGAGTGATCGCTCTATGAATGAATGAACCTGCCAAGCTTCTAGGGCTTTGTTTTCCATTGAGCCAGGACTTTAAAGTGGAAATTTAGCCAAATTGCTAAAACACCGTTGAGATGCATATGTGGAATTCTGTGATTTCATATACTTTGCAGTGAAGTAGTCAAGCCAGATGGTGACATACTTATTGCAGCATCCAATTGCCTTCCCACTTCCAGCCTGCTTATTGGGCATGAGAATTGCCATGCAGGTGAAATCTCCTGTACTCTAAACCGGTTTAATTGACAGTACTGTAAAGATAAATTGAGCTTGAATTGGCCTCCAACTTAATTTTGCTGTGATAAGCTAAACATAAGATTTCTGGTGTAATATATATTTTTGGGGGTTATTTGCAACTGGGCTAATGATTTTTGCTTGGATTTCCACTTTGAAGTGTGTAATTGCATCCCTAACAACAAGGACATTTGTGAAAAGTGAGGCGACATTGGCGTGAAAAGTGAGGCGACATTGGCGTCGTAGTATTGCTTGCACCAGATTATGTAATATTCCTTTATACCCAGCTTGTTGCCATGAGGAAACTAGTCCCATAATTTTTTTCTATGTAGACTGCAAGGTCTATAGTCCTTCCATGTCAAAAAGCAAAACCGAAGCATATTGGGTACACAGGACACTTGGTATTAGCGAGTGTAACAAACACTTCCACTTTTATTTGCAGTCTTGAGTGGAGAGATGAACTGAGTTTTGCTTATAGGGAACCTGTTGGGTGCATACGTTCCTGGCTACCCCAACTTCCCTCTGAGGTGCATCAGTTTCGGGAAATCTGAGGTGATATTCTGTAGCCAGGGTTGGGGAAAAGGGCGGCTTCCAGCCAGGTAAGCATGGAGGCCAGATTTTTCTTTTTACCATGGAAGCGTATGCATATGTTCTACATCAAAGCAGGACACAGAGCATAGATTAAGAGGAAGCATTCCTACAACCAAGCATATAGAATCTACAGCTTTAACCCTTGTCTGGTGTATGTGTAGAAGACCCAAAATATCCAAATGTGTGTATTTACCAGCTCCAAGCCCTGTAGCAAGGCAGTAGTCCTCATCTCTGCTGTAGATTGGTTCTGTATGGCTTTGTGTATGTTTGGCAAATGTGTATATATTGGGAAGTTTGCAGTTTGCCTGTATTTAGGATTGGGAGGATTTTTAGAATTTTTTTTATAAATTGTCTTATGTCTTAACTCATTTTAAATAAAACAATTGCTTGTATTGTCTTGCATGTCCTGTTGTACAATGACTTTTAGAACCCAGAATTGATGCAAGCCACATACAGGCCATGATCCTGTACTTCATGTAGGGTGTATATAGAGCAAATATTTGGATGGATTAAGCTATTGTTAAAACCCCTGTTGCGTTTTGCGATCGCTGTACCAGTTGTGAATTTCCTTTTTAGCTACTTTGTTCTGTAGCCACAACAGGAAATGAGGAGTTCTCTCTAGAGCAGCGGTTCTCAACCTGTGTAACCTCAGGACCTGCATTTGTCCTTGGTCATTAAGTTGCGACCCAAGCGCGTTCCGGTGCATACAATTGAACTGTGGGCGGGAGGTGCGTTTGGGGTGCCATTCAAATGAATCGCAATGCAACACGCATCCCACACCAGAATGTGTGGTACAGTGCATTAATCGTCCAGGACTGTTCAATTAACGCACTGCACTAGTGTGAATGGGCCCGCAACCACTGCCACCATTTTTTTCTTTTTTTTTAAGACCCCCCCCCCAGTCTCTCTACCTTACAAGAACCGGAGTGGATCCTAAGCCTGGGGTACAGTGGGGGCTGCAGTGCTGTGACGGAGCTCTATCCATACGTGCATTGCTTGTACAGCTCCCTTGTGTGTCCTTTTAAAGGTCCCGGGAGCCAGAATGTGACGGCACTCCGGTCCAGGCACCTCTACAGGACATGCGAGGAAGCTGTAAGCAATGCACGTATGGATGCAGCTCCTTGGTGGCCATAGCTCTAGGCCACCACACCTTAAGCTAACACTCTGCGTGAGAACCGACAGTGCTGCTTCCCTGGGGGGAGGCTGAGAAGCCTCTCACCTAGAAAAGTTGAAGGCATGCGACGACCCACCAGTTGAGAATAAAGGCTCTAGAGGGAAATTTCCAGTTGTCACCAGAACAAGTGTCCCAATTTTTGCTCTTGTCAGTATTGGCATACTTTTTTCTTTTGCTCCCTAATCACACCATTTCACTGCTGGAGCAATACCTGTAACTTTCACATATGGAAGGGCATTTGACTTATCTTGCCATTGGACAGAGTTGGTAGTTGGCCACCCGTAGCTGTCATAGGGGCAGAGAGTTTGCAACGTTGGGCCAGCGTTGACAACTTGGAGTCATCAGAACGTCTTCAATACAGATCTAAGGGATGCAAACACAGCTGAAACCGCTTAACTACACCTTTTAATGGATTCTAAATCATGTACAAAAGCATGCCACATTTGCCCACTAAAGCCTGTTGATCCTGGCCCTTTTCCAGGGCTTAACTATTCACCGCTGTGCTGCAAATTAAAAGCTGCTGGTGTGGCCACCATTAAGGTGCCCATACACATTACGACCATCGCAAGACTTTTGTCTTGCGATGGTCGGTCGTATGCTTATTGAAAGCTCGTACGATCTGCCCACCTTGGGCGGGTAGATCGTATTTGCGATCATCGAACGCCTGCCCCGCTGAGGGGCGGGCTTCCGATGACCGCAATGCAGAACGGGCAGTGTGCGCACACCGGCCCGTTCCACAGCTGTCGAACGAGCAGGCTAGAAACCCGCCGACAATCGTACGATTCTCGGTGGGTTTTCGAGCATGCTGGTTCGACAAGACGTGCGACCGTACAGTAGAAACGGTCGCACGTCTTCGTTCACACTGCTCGATTCTCGTATGATCGTGGGATTTCTCGTATGAGAATCGAGCAGTTTATGGGCACCTTTACAGTGAATCAGTTTGTTTTTGCTCTGTTTTAAACAAAGCATGGTTTTCCCAAAGCTGAACTTTAGGACCAACAATTTTATTTTAACATATTCCCCCGGCGCTTCGAATGATTCAGACACTGCATTAAACGTTTCCACTTTGTGGTCAAATTTTGAGAAATTGCGCTAGGTTAGTATAACCAAACATACCTAAAAATATTTACTGGTAACTCTATTTCCATAGGCTGTTCCAGGGCACGCATGTGAACAAGCATGACCAGCCCCTGGAGCCAGGAATCTAATACTACATATTTCAAAAAGTTGGTCCCAAGGATTGTGCAACTTTGTATTTGCACATAAACATGGAATGTGTAACTAAAAGGCAAGGAAAAATAAAATACAAAATATGCACAACATAGAAAGACTGTTGGAAATGGTTACTGGCGCTACTGCTTTTCTCCAATTCTTTTTGTGGGGCAGCAGAGAGGATAAGTGAGAACTTGCGTTTGTAAGGGACCACTGTCTGAAGAACCCTCCTTGCAAAAGCTCCAGCATCATCAGATGGTTAAAAAGTTGAACAGCTAGACCATGTAGCAGCATGACAAATTTTGGTCCATAGTTGCACTGGCTCACTTGTATCAGGAGGTTGATGGAGCTCTAGTAGAGTGTGCCATGAGGGTGAATCTTCCATGGCAGATTAGGAGTCTTTGATAGCCTGCATAATCCATCTAGTGATGGTATTCTTAAAAACTTGCTGACCTTTTTCCAGAGTGCAAGACAAAAAGGGCTTCTATTTTCCTATGGTGAGATCTAAATGTAAAATGCAAGTTCTCACATCTAACAGATAAAACCTGTTCTGACAGTTGCAGGTTGAGGACAAAAAGAAGGTAAAATAATATTTTGATCTATGGAACTTAGAGGATACTTTGTGCAGAAATCCTGCATCGGTCTTGATAACCAAAAACCTGCAGCAAAGGTCCTCGGAACAACAAGGCCTGAATTTCACTCTTGACTAGCTGTGAAGTGCTTCTAAGTGGGCTGTGTTACGTTAAAGAATGTGAAGGCTCAAAAGGATTCCTGACCAGACCATGGAGCACTAGAGAGATTCAATTTGGGGAAAAACTTTGACTGCCAAGGGTCTTGACATAAAGGCTTCATAGGGTCAACTGCTAACTAATAGCCAATCGCTTGTCCACCCCGTCCTAAAAGAATTTTAGGGGATATTCATAAAAGCTTTATTCTCTAAATATCAAGCTGAAAACAAGTCGGCTTTTTCCATAAATGGCTCTTGTAACTTTTTATGCTGGACAAAAAGTGTCAATGATCCTGCACTGCCAGAGCCTGGAAAACAAAGGCTTCTTTTTGCCAAACAAGAGCAACTAGGATAAGAGTTGTAGTTTCTCCCTAGAATTTGCTCAGATCAAGTGAAAAAGGTCTGCACAGAGGAAATGTAACACACATCTGGAAAGACAAGGGCTGAGCAAAGGTGTCTATCCTGGAGGACCCTCCCCCTCTCTCTTTGTGTAGTAAGTAGAAAACTGGAATATTTTGCGTTTGAACAAATAAAGTCCACGTGGATCTGTTTTTACTCTATGGACTGGCTAAGAAGCTTCAAGTTGAGGATTAGGCAAAACTGGGCTAAGCTTTTGTGAAAATAGCTTGATTCTCCTCCTGCTTTTGGGCCTGGAATGAGCACTAACTGGTTGACCTGTTACCAATTAAAAAAAAAAAAAGCAAAAGGCTACCTGGGCACCAATATCCAGGGAATGTGTGATCTTGGGGCTTTCAATTCATGCTCATAAGAATAGATATACTGACAATGAAATGCATACAAATTATTCCATTTATTCATTTCCATTAAAAACTAACAATAAAAAGGCAGAATAAAATCTGGAAGCAGTACAAACCCCCCAGGACCTTAACTATATCAAGATGGTTTGGTTATAGTATTCTTTGTTTATAAATGATGGTTATAAATATTTTCCTCTTCAATGGCTTATTTATACGCTGAAGCTATAGTGGTGCTTGGTCCTGATTTCTTAACATGGTCCATGCTTTGGCTTCCTCAGGAGAAGAAATATCTTTATCATCACACAAAATACCTGAAACATACATGGTATTATATATGCTTCAAAATGACGTAACCTGTGGGTGCCAGCCAGAAACCATACTGCACCGGATTCAATGGGAAAAATAAAAATATCCCCCAGCCCGCCCCTTAATACTCTCCCAGGCAAAGCTCCCTACTGAGGTGTGGAGTTTGTTAACCCCTTCGTGACTGATGACGTACAGTGTACGTCGCCAGCATCGGGGCTGTTTAAACAGACTCCCAGCGACTTTTGCCGCCGGGAGTCTGTTTTAAACTTGTAGAGCCGACTGTCGGCTTTACAACAGAAGCGATTCTGGCGACTTACCTGTCGCCAGATTGCTTCTGTGTCCCGTAGAAAGGGCCGCCGGACACCGCCACGCTTGCCGGGCTCCGTTGCCCCTCCTACTGGCCCGGGACCGGCGTCCTTGGTGTCCGCAGGGAGCTGGGGAGGAGGTCAACGAACTTCCGTTCATCGATCCCCTCCCCGTACCCCCCCATGTGATAGCAGTCAAAGTAAAGTAAAAAAAAGTTTTTTTAAATTAAAATAAATCTAATATTAAAAATAATTTTTTTAAAGTCCCCCGCCCCCGTGTCGCCATGTAAACACGCGTTGGGTGCGCCTACGTATGAAAACGACGAACGCGCTACACATGTTGCGCAGGCCGGAGTGAGAGCAATAATTCTAGGGCCAGTATTTTGGGGTATCTCTAAATTGATGACCTGTGGGGGCTTTTAAAGCGTCTTCTATGGATTTTTTTTGGGGGTACTGCAGTTTTTCGCCGTTTCACAGACGCACGCAATTTGTAACCTGGGCATGTTGGGTATCGTTTTACCCGTTGTAACCTCATCTTTTATATTTCATTTTAAAAATTGGTATTTTGTTGTTTTGGGGCTTTTAATTAAATTTTTCACTAAATGTTGGGGTTTAATAAGGAGTTGCGCTAATATTGCGCAACATAAAAATTTGCAACTACCACCATTTTATTCTATAGGGTCTTGGCATTCAGAAAATATATAATGTTGGGGTGTTTTAAGTCATTTTCAGGCCTAAAATGTGGAATATAACATGGGTACAAAAAATGAAAAAAAGCCTCAGTCATGAAGGGGTTAAACGAGGATGGACAGCTGGACTTCAGACTGCATTAAATCACCTAATACAGCGTCCAGCCGTCCTCCCTCTTGTTAGATGCGGTAGAGCTGTCCATATTCTTGCATCTAACCAGAGGGAGGACGGCTGGACGCTGTATTAGGGGATTTAACTGAAACTCTATAGGGAGCCCTGCCTGGGAGAGAATGTGCAGAAGCCTAAACTTTGCAGCTATGGTTGAGTGATTACAGTTGCAATGCTTTCCAGGTCTGAATTCAAAAAAATTAAGAAATGTATATTTACAGGAGAACTATGAGGTAAGTGGTTTACCTCATAGTTCTAAGGGTCACGGGAGGACACAAACTAGCGTCCTCCCATGACCCAAAGCTCAGTATACCGCGAGCTATACTGAGACCGCCGCAGCCGGGACAGATCTCGACATTACTGTCGAGAGACACCCAGCTGCGTGATTGACAGCTGGCTCTGCCTATCTAGAGGCAGAGCCAGCTGTACCCTCCCCGTCCGTTCCGCCAGTCCGCGCTGGAGGATCTGGGAGGGGGGGAATCCCTGCAGGGAGCCGTGAGTGACAGTCACGGCTCTCTGCAGGGAGATGATCGAGAAGTGAAAAATTACAATAGACATGACTTCCCACGGCCCCCTCCTTAACATTACATAGCGGGAAAGCTAGTTAGGATATTAAAAGTGTATTTCAAGTTTTATAGGCAAAATGAAGAAACCCCCCACTAGAGGTTTGTGTTCCTATTAACAGCATATCTAAAAATAATTTTCTAGAAATATTTCTTAACGTTTACATCTCTCTATTTTGCAGGTCTTTGCAAGTTTCTCTCTCAATTTCAGTAACTGTGAACTCTGTTCTAATAGAAATACAGATCCCCTCATTAATATACACCGATCAGTCATAACATTATGACTACCTGCCTTACATTGAGTAGCTGCCCTTTTTTTTCCCCACCAAACAGTCCTGACCGGTCGAGGCATAGACTCCACTAAATCTCTGAAGGTATGCTGTGGTATCTGGCATCAAGTGATCAGTAGCAGATCCTTTAAGTTGTGAAGTGGGGCCTCCATGGATCAGACTCGTTTTTCCAGCACATACCACAGACGCTCGATTGGATCGAGATTTGGAGGCCAAGTCAACACCTCAAACTTGTTTTCCTCAAACCATTCTTGCAGTTTGCGAGGACACGTTATTATGCTGAAAGAAGCCACTCACTCTTGTGTTGTAGCTATGATTTGTACTTGCAGTATTTTTGAAGACAAAACATGGAAAAGTGCATATAATGGAGAAATGTACTTTGTAGGGATGTTTTTAAAAAGGGTCCATTCACAATATATTCGGTGATGGGTGTTTTTTTTCACCAACTGAACAATGCAAGTGGCCACCGAGGCATATAGAAAACAATAATTTCTTATGTGCCCTTTTCACACCACACAGGTGTGACCTGTGGTGTGGTGTGCTGTAAACAAAAACAAAAAATCGACATGCTGAAATTTTTTTTTTTGCCAGAGACTTGTCTATACTGCAGTGCAGCACACCTTGCTGCTGTGTGGGGACCTGACAGGAGTGTACAGTTTTTACTTTACAAATAAAGTTTAAAAAAAAAAAAATTTGCAACACACACACACACAGCATTTTAGCAGCCAGGCTAGTGTGAACAGACCCCTTGATGTTACCACAGCACAATCCATAAAAAAAAAACCTTAAGATATGGCATAGTCCAGGAAAACTTATAAACAGATTAAGTACCCAGCGAGAGGGAAGAAAAAAAAAACTGCTGGCTGCAAAGGACCATAGGTCAGCAGGGACTGATGTGAATATTTTAATGCTCTGTAAAGTCCTCAGGCACATAGTAGCAGTACATAAATTAGCTAAATGGAAATATTTGACACATAATCCAATATGGACAATACTTTACTTCCCAGAAGACACAAAAACTCAATTTTCTGCAAAGTATCCTTTACAGTGTAAACAAAACATCTAAGAAAATAGATCAAATAAACCTCATAGAAAACATGGTTGTTGACATCAAGGTGAATTGATCTTGCGCTTCTTCTTATTACGTGATTTCTTAGTCTTAACATTTGTTATTTTATTTGCTTTCCTTTTTAAAGAGACCTGCATCATGTTTGATTTCTCCTTAGGCTCACTTCTCGGTCTCTCTTCTGCTGCAGTGTCAGCGGCCATAAAATCGGTTACACTCCGCTCCTCACACAATACAGAACTGTTTGCAGGAAAACATAGAAATAATTATACATATAAAATAAAAGAATGCACATAACTCCTTCAAACAATCCCTTATATAAGAAAAGCAATCAATACCTAAATACAAGCACATAACCATTGTTTCCTCATGTGGCCGTCTTGCACCTCACTGTACCTCCTCTATGTCTCATTTCTTAGCATCCCTGGGTCCTGCATTCAGTGTGCTGGCTCAGATTGCAGTTTGAGGATCCTCTGTACCTCATCTGTATCTGATGGACATAGAGGAAGCATCAGGGGACCAAGGGCCCTCATCATACACTCCTCTGCTTCTTGTCGGTATAACCTCAGCAACTTCTCTCCTACACATGTTACATCCCTTCCCTCATACCATTTCTTGCTGGCAATACCTTCTCTCATACCCTTCACCACTCCCCTCCTGCTCAAACTGCACCACTCATATCCTCAGCCACTCCCCCTTTCTGCTCATGCTGCCCCTCATACTCATATAACCTCCACTTCTGCCTTCCTGCTCTGTCATACATTCTGCCATTCTCCTCCTGCTGCCCCTCTCATATCCTCAACCACCCCCCTCCTGCTGGTCACCCTGCCCGCCCCCCCATAACCTCCTCCATTCCCCTCCTGCCAGTCTCATATGTGCAGCCACTCCCCTCCTGCTTGCCATGCTCCTTTAATACTCACCACCACTTCTCTCCTACACTTGTTGCCCCCTCTGCCACTCTCCTGTTCACACTGCCCCTCTCGTACCCACCACTCCCTCCTGCTTGCCCTGCCCCTCTGATACCCTCCAGCACTCCTCTCCTGCATTTGTTTCCCCCTCATTTTCTCTGCCACTCCTCATTGTCTGCGACACTCTTCCTCTCCTGCACCTGCTGCCCACTTATTTAATACTGTTCAGCATATTCCCAGTATTGTCTGTTCTGGAATGTGCACACTAAGGGCAGGTTCACACCATTTTCCGGACCAGTTCTGTAACGCAGTGCATTGCGTTTTGCCGCATATATACCGCGATTTTGCCACGTTTGGATTTTTTTTTTTTAAAGCTTAAAATGGTGCGTTCCAGTTTATTCCAGACCAAACAAAATGAGACGTGCAGTATTTTTCTGGTCTGGAAATAGCATAGGGATACATTAGGATACATTTTGGGTCTGGAAACAATCAGTTCTGGTGATGATACGGACATGGTGTGAATGGACCCTTATGCTGTTTTTTTGTTTTTAAGAAAAAAGGAAGAAAAGAAAAAAAACAGGACACCTGCGGTACTTGGACCCCTAGTGGTTGGGGCAAGTAACTGTTGATTCTGCCACAGTATGCACTATAGCCACCCTGCCAGGAAAAGAGGCAATACACAGCACAGGAACATCTTGTCCTCAAATACCTTATGAACAGGAAACTGAAATGTTGACTCAATGTCATTCAATCTTACTAGGGCTTCAAGGGATTACACTGTCATTGTGGCAGTGCATCAGTTGCATACCTGGATATCCTACATAAAGGGCCATACCCCAAAATCTGTTGTTGCAATCTTTGTCCATTACCTATGTCTTAGCTCCCTGGCACCCCCAAAAAGGGAGGTCCAACCATTTTTTCTTAAGTGTTTTGGAGCCAACAGATCCCCCCCCCCCCGAAGGCAAAACATTATAACTCTTTTACCTTATGCTAGCTTCTTTCTTGCGCTGAAACAGTGCAACAAAGAATCCGTTGGTGAGTGTGTCTGTGAGAGAGGCACGGAGGCAACAATCGGATCCGGGAAATGTGTCCAATCCTCGTAGCGGCCATGATGGGAGAGCCTCTGCTAGCCTGGAATTAATATATATAGAAATAAATATCGTTTCATCCGAAGTATAGGATTCCAATGTACCTACAAAAGGGCCTGTGCTGTACCTAAAATCTGTGTGTTGTTCTAGAATGTTCTTCACAACGTCTTCATTCTCTTGCTGGTGTACAGAGCAAGTAGAGTACACTACATTTTGTACAGAAGGGAAGCTTAGGGCATGGGATAACGCTCGGCTCTGGAACGCTGACAAAGCTTGAAGCCTCTCACTCTTCTCTGATCCTGCCTCCTCACTTAGCATCCTCATACGATCTGGCATGCCTACAAAATGAAACATTCTATTAATGAATAAATATCCAAAGCCAAGATTTCTAAAGTAACACAAAAACACTTTAACCACTTGCTGTCCGGAGCAATTTTCTCAATATTTGCACACACAAAATATGAATTTTTGGCTAGAAAACAGCTTTAAACCACCAACAATGATATCTTTTTTGAAAGCAGAGGCCCTGTAGAATGAAAAAATTCTAGTTGCCATTTTTTATGTCACACGGTACTTGCACAAATGTTTATCAAACCTGCCTTTATAAGATAAAATATGCTAAAATGAAATTAAGTGCACAGAAACAGAATATAATACCCAATGTTTTGGTAAAATATAAAAGATGGGGTCACGTCCGGTAAATAGACACCAAACTTGTCAAGCCTTAAAAGTGCGTGCGCCCATGAAACCGAAGAAAACTACAATACCCAAATTTTCGCATAGGCAACATTTTAAAAGCTTTTACTGCTCATCAGTTTAGTGTTATCAGTGATCGATGGCCCTAGAATTATTGCTCTCACTCCGACGTTTGCGGCGATATGTAACGTGTGGGGTGATTTTCATCTTTGCACGTAGGCGCATCTGACGTGTGTTTGCATTGTATGGGGGAGGGGGGAGACACAGAGCCACACCGTACAAACGATCCAAATCGCTTTATACAAACAGCAATCGCCTGCTGTTTAAAGTGATACCAAGAACATGGCAGCTGCTGCAGCCATTTTCTTGGCATAACCCCTTCTAGCCGATGACGTGTATTTACGCGAACCCGCTAGACGTGGTTAATTAAGCAGTAGAGAAACTGAAGAGCAGAAATCTATGGGATTAAATCAAATTTCACTTTACTTCACATTGCCAAAACAGACTGTTAGTGGGTGTTACGGATAACTGCACCTTGCACACTGCTCATTGTCTGTCAGTAAGGTTAGAGGACAAGACAATGTTTCCTGTAAGAACAAACCTAGTGAGCAGCTTTCCTGAGCATTGAGCATCATTTTTGTGTTCATTAAATGAAATATAGTCAAAGTTAAAATAAATTCCCAATAGTTAAACTGCTCGACAAGAGAACAACAAAAAAAAATCACTATATGAGGTTTAAGTCCTTACCACTACATCACCTACTGCCCAACACTACGTCTACATTCGCCATCACATACACCGCCAACCCCAATTACTCAACAACTTTAGTTAAAACAGGCTCCCCCTATAGTTCCAAAAGCACACCTGAGAGAGAATACAGCAGGAAAGTCAATATTTCCTTACCTGAACCACTGCATGACGGGTCCACTAAAATATGACTGACTTTCTGATATTTTGGATCACCCGAGTTGACAGTGAGAAAGTCCTGGTTGGCCAGCTCTTGACATGTGACCCCAGCCCGTAGTAGAAGTGTGCTCATTGTGGCCAAACGCTTAGTGTCCAAGTCAAAGGCGAAAACTTTTCTAAAATCAGAAAATGAGTTATTTTAACGTAAGTGTAGTGCACATATTCCCACCTCAAATGTTTCTAAAAGCTCATATGTAATGTGGACCTGATTTTAAACAGTAAAGATATGCTATGATTGGTGAACCTCTAGAAATGGTTACTGTGCCTAAGCAGTACTCTAAAAAAAAATGCACCTTTCACTTGGAATTCCTCATGAAAAACTGCAGTGCACCTCCTGGCAATTCTGTACCTAAAAAAGTCTGCTGTGTGAGGTAATCCAAAGGCACTGCTAATCTCATCAGATTTTGTGATGTCACATCTGTGTAGCTCGCTGTTCTTGTTGGAGAGGAAGCTGTACCTGAGCAAACACAGTGCTAGGATCTTCCTATTCCTGTATTACTCAGTTTGTGGATCTGTGCTTTAAGCACCACTCCCACTGCTTCTTTATCTTTAGCACACCAATCATCAGATTGCCATTCACCAGAGGGGCAGCTCCGACATGGGAAAGCAAAACCATGCTCCTCACAAAATATGATAGAGACACAATGTGGGACAAGACATGGTCAGTGATGTGGAAAAGATGTGCTATAGGGAGCCTACAGGTAATAAGACTGATCATTTATTCGCCCTCTTCTTGCCTTTTTGGACTCAGCTTCCACAGAACAGGTCATCTTAAATAAGCAGGCAATATACTAAAACATAAGACTACACAGAACTGAGATAATTTAAAGCTAAACTCCAGGAATTATATATTTAAAAAAACAACTACCCTTACAGTGGCTCCCCTCATCTACACTGCAAGGTTTAAATGGGAGCTGATTCCATCTGTGTGACCATGGCCCCCGAAGCCTATGTTCTAAGACCCTCCAGCCAGTAGTCACACCCCGACACATTTATAATGTCTTAAGTCTAAAGTTAACCTTTGGCCAGTCAGGCTGTCCATCACACCAATGAGACAATAGGGCGGTATTGGGCCAAGCCCAAAGTTCACCACCTTTATCTTCAGGTCTGGTGTTCATTTTATTGTACTGGGGCTCCAATAGGTAGTCCGCTTAGAAGCAAGCCGTGCTCAGTGAACACCTCTAACAATGCAAACTGTGGTAACACATAGCTGCAGCTTTCATTCTTCTGACAGCTGCAAAATGGTGAAATCTGAAGCTTCTGTAAGGTACAGCAATCTCTGCACTGTACATGTAACTATAGGCTGGTAAGTGCCAGTATATGGCATACACATACCCCTTGTTTTGTAATACAGCAGCCAGTTGGCTTGTCTTATTTCCTGGGGCAGCACAGGCATCGATAACATGGGCCCCAACGGTAGGAGACAGGAGCAATGCTGGAAGACAACTAGCCTACAACAAGAAATAAATATCAGCAATCAATAAAACATTATAGGTCTTGTGAAAGACATTACACCAATTCCTGAGGTCACTTTCACCTTGTCCTGCAGTATGAGATGCCCAGCTATATATAAAGGGTCTTTGTGGAAATCTGTGTTCGGAGGAAAGATCAGTAGATCAGGAACGTGGAGATCTTGGAGAAATCTCTTGCCAGGCTTCTGTGCAAAGTCAACAATTTCCTGTATACTGAACAAAAGTTCAAATAAAGAAAAATATTTTGTACTTTGTATTATGTAAAGCTATTTTCGCTATTATACAATACAGAATGTAAAGAATATAAAACACATACATAACAGCAACATGTACAGATTGTGACTTCACAAACCTAAATTAGCTATGATACCCATTAGAAAGCCTTTTAAGACTTTAAGAATTAATTTTAATTTAAGAATTAAAAGTAAAAAAAGAAAAATATCACACCATTTATAGTAATTTAGGGCCCCAACCCCTAGCAACACACACTTTTGCCTCACTCATAAAGCACTGTTCCATATGCATTACCACTCCAGCGACTTATAGTTTACACAGAACTTTGTTCCCCGCAGGTGAACAGAGCACTGGGGGTGTGAAAGGAAGGCAAGTACGGCTGAGGAGGGCTAAATTAAAGTGAACCTGCTGCGAAAATGCAGATATTACCTTCAGTGCAAACTACTATTACTAACAACCCCCCTTCCCAGAATACGTCCCCCTCATTTGGGGAGACTGTGTTTATACATTTAATATAAGTAACACTGTTAAGCCGAGAAAGCTGCTAAGCAATACATTATTTTTAATTACCTATCTCATAAAATACACCAGTTTTACGTGAGTGCTCACCTTCTTGCTTTTCCCTGGTAGGTATAACCCTTGCGTTTAAAATAAGTGATGAGTTCATTCATGGAGGTCTTCAGTGTGTTCACACGTACATATCGTGGCAAGGCGGGTCCTAGGGGCAGAGAAAATGTATACGACTTGACAAGGAAGTAATACTGATATACTTTTCAAACCAGATGCAGAAGAAAAATAAAATGTCTACAGATAGCAGACAAACATGAGCAGCAAATCATATTTCCTTTTTCCAACTGACACAAGCATGCCATTGTGATCTGCTAAAGCAAAAGATCCAACAGCCTTTACATACATATAATATACATTTCTTCCTATACCCTCTATTAGAGCAGTTGGATGTCTGTTAATTTTCCCACCCTCGATGAAAGTGACATGCAAACGCTTGTTTAATGCAGTATTCTAACTTTCATGACTCCTAGGAGCCCTGGAAAAAAAAAATGAAGATTGCTGGTTCTAAAATACCATCAACTGCGCCACCCATAGAAGTCAACAAGTCTTGATTGCTGCTGATCTTCTTCTTGACCTTTAACTTTGCAAGTTCAGCCTGTAATCGGGCGCGATGAGCGAGAATGGTTGCCTTCCAGCGACCTCCACAGTGCAGACCTTTTCCAAACAGCAAATCATATACCAGCACCTGAAACAGAAGAACACATGGTGCACTGATCAATCTGATCATCTGCAAAGCATGCACACTGCAACCGCACAATGACTTATCCTGTCATGAATTCACTTTTTGAATATCAAATAGTTATACGGTATTAATTACTGTCTGTTGGATGGTTTCACTGGAACAGCAGTCTCCTCCCCATGAAAGATTTCCCCTCACATCCAGTGACAACTGTACAATTTTGGATTTCCCATTGTTGACACTAGTGAACTTTAATTGGTGACCAGAATGTCATCACTTAAATGATGTACAGAAGCTAGGTGCAAACGCAGTTTGACGAAGCCCGCGCAAACCTTTGACCAACACATGCCCCTCCCAGTCTAATCAGTTGCAGTCGGGACATTCTCTGCCCCGCAGCTACATGTCACAAAAGGCCAGAGAATGCCCCTGCAACAACTGATACTAAAAATAACAGTTATAACAACCCCTTTACAAATAAAAGATGACACATTTGTGTTCTCAACAGGCCTCAAAGATAAATTACAATTTATATATAATCGCTTATCATAGTAAAAAAAAGAGGGATACGGAACAGAAAAAGTACACAGGAAATAAACCAACTTACCTACTAGAAGGGAGTCTCATTTTTTTCCCCTTGACTAGCTAGCTCAGGGGTAGGCAACCACCGCACTTCAGCTGTGGTGAAACTACAAGACCCATGAGGTATTGTAAAACTCTGGACAGTTAGGAGTTGTAGTCTCGCCACAGCTGGAGTGCTGAGGTTGCCTATCGCTGGGCTAGTGTAATAACCAAAACACAGACTACTAACAGCTGGGGCTCCGAGGGTTGCAAAGCAGGGGCCTATTTATACATGCAGTGGTGAATGGCAATTCTGCATTGGACTAACGCCAGACACAGCTAGGGTACATGGAAGTACAGTTAAAGGAGAACTATGGGGTCAGGGCTTTTCCCCGTAGTTCTCCTTAGGGTGACGGGAGGACACAAACTAGCGTCCTCCCGTCACCCTAAGCTCAGTATACCGCATACTGAGACGCTGCAGTATACCGCAGCTAGCGGTATACTGAGACGCCACAGCATACCGTGAGCTGCAGCTTGCGGTATACTGAGACGCCGCAGCTGAAGCGGATCCCGACCAGCTGCGTGAGTGACAGCTGGCACTGCCCATCTAGAGTCAGAGCCAGCTGTACCCGCCCCCTCAACCCGTCCATTTCGCCAGTCTGCGCTGGCGGATCGGAGCGGGGATTCCAGCCTGAGAGCCGTGACAGGATCGAGAGGTGAGCAAACGCCGGTATGTGTTTGCTCACCTCCCGATCTACTGAGCCGACCTGTGACAGTCTCATTGTGAAAAGCACTCACCTCATAGTTCTCCTTTAAGGTGACACTAAACTCAGGAGTTAAATCTTACAAATACAATAAATTACCTAAACTATTAAGAAAAATTTATCTTTTTTTTTTATTTATCACCCAACTGTAGATCCCCAAATCATCTCTGAATTGGTGCTGACACTGTCCTTCCTACATGAGGGCGGCTACTTTTGTCCCCCATGGTCCCTGTGTGTGTTGTAAAGTAGTCACCACTCCATGCTCACTCCTGTGATGGACTATAATCTCATATACAGTATATACAGTATATACTAGGGATGTACCGATACCGGTATTTTGGTACTCGCGGATAGCAATTACTGAGTAACAGAAGTCCCATTCAGGAAGCCAGGTGGCGTGTAATGACTTACCACCTGGCTTCCTGATTAACAAGAAAGTCCCCTCTTACCTTAGTATGTGCAGCCCGTCACCGCCGGGGCCTCTCCAGCGAGAACGCGGCCTTCCTTCGGTACCCAGCCAGAGCCGTCTGGCCAGCCAATGAGGAAGCCGGGCGCCATGTAATGACACGACACCCTGCTTTCTGATTGGCCGGGAAGCTGGCTTCATGCTCCCTCGTCGTCTCATGATGACGAGGAAGGCCGCGTTCTCAGGGAGGCGTCATCTCAGGAAGGCCGCGTTCTCGCTGGAGAGGCCCCGGGGGGTGACGGGCTGCACCTACTAAGGTAAGGTAACCTTACCTCAAGAGGCCAGCTTCCTGATTGGGCCAAATTCCCGACCAATCAAGAAGCCAGGCAGCGCGTCATTACACGCTGATTGGCTGGGAAGTCGGCTCCATGCTCTCTCATCACAAGAGACGAGAGAGCATGGAGCCACTTCCCGGCCAATCGGGAAACCCGGGCAGCGTGTAATGACGCGGTGCCCAGCTTCCTGATACCGGAAGTACTCGTGCTAGGCATCGGAGCATTTGGGCGAGAAAAATACTCGTAATCGGCACCGATATCGATACTACCGTAGTATCGGTGCATCACTAGTATATACAATATATTAGTAAACTAAACGTGAGATTGTAGTCCATCACAGGAGTGAGCTTGGAGCGGTGACTACTTTACAACACGCACAGGGACCATGGGGAACAAAAGTAGCCACCCTCTAGAAGGAAGGACAGTGTCCGCACCAATTCAGAAATGATTTGTGGATCTACAGCCGAGTGATACACAAATAAGAGACATTTCTCTTCATAGTTTAGGTATTTGATTGTATTTTTAAGTTTGAACTCCTGAGTTTAGTGTCACTTTAAGAAAACAAAAAAGTAAACAGTGCCTTGCATTGTCACAACAAAGCACTGCGGCTCAGCGGACACTAGCCGTATGATAAAACGCTGCATTTTACCACAGCCAGTATAAACGAGCCCTAAGGCCTGGTTCACACCTGGGCGTTTTTGAGCAGCTGGAAAAGCGCTTTTAAACGCCCAACACAAGAAATCTCAGGATTTTTAATTGCCCCTTTTCCCACCTGAGCAGGAAAACACCAAACGGCCCAAAAGGTACATGAGCTTCTTTGGGCGATTAATGGTCCGTTTTTGCTCCATAGACTTCAATGGAAATGCCCGAAAAACGCACAGCAGAAGCATGTTGCACATTTTTGCTCATTCGTCCATTGCCCACAATGTCTCTTAAGCAACCATTCAAAACGAGTGTCTTTACGAACACGCGTCAAAATGTGCAAAACGCCCATAAACATGCAAATAACCGCATGCTGAACACGCGCGTACAAACACGCAAAACCGATGCCGCCTAGGTGTGAACCCGGCCCAAGTGCAAAAGTGTATATACTGTATAATGCTCAGGTCAGGCTCCTAGATATGATCACTAGACCGCCATGTCCCGTGTACCCCAGATACTGTGCCACCTTCTCCATGACACAACCACCCCTCCTGCACAGGCCGCCATCATACTCACTTTGGCCAGGTTCAGGGGCAGTTTTTTGGCTCCTCGCAGCAGCTGTGAACTTGTGATGACGTCTTCCAGCACCGGAGAGTAGCGCAGAGTCTCACACAGCAGAGCGTACAGCTGACGGACATTCTGGGTGACATGGATAAGAAGGGGTTAATACGTGCTCCCACGTGACTCTATGTATATATAATGACAGAGTCCCCCTGACAAAGTTCACCTTGTACCCGCTGTTATACACCAGGTTCTTCACAGCCCCCTCCTTCTGATCCAACTTGTCCAGGATCCCGGCCGCCGCCTGGTACACAGCCATGATCACACACGTGTCTCCCCTTCCGGAGATTTACGACACTTGCTTGGGCATTGCTTTACGGCTGTGTAGAGGCTCCGTTCCGACAGTAGGGGGCGTCTCCATACATTTATCAAAGACAAGCAATGGAGCGATGCTGTGTTATCTAACGAGACAGGACTGATACCCTGCACCCTATGTATAAGGATGATGTACCCCAATGTCAGTACATCATCTATTCCTTCACCACAACGGCGTTTGAACTCTTCATTGGAGCACCTACCTGTTGCTGCAGCAACACTCATCATATGTCTTTTCTTATATCTGTGCAATAAATGCAAAAAAGGATTATCAGCCCTGCACATTTCTCCTCTGTGAACTACAGTACACCTCCCCCAGGTTATACATAGACCCTACAATTTATAGTGTTGTATAAACTCTTTAGTCTTGTGGTAGTAGTGGGAGAAATGGCGGATCATGCGGACGGATTCCTGTATGTGTCAGTAAGGTGTATATGAATCTGACGCCATCATCTCTCCTGTGGAGTCGGAGTAGTAAATGAAATGTATCAAATCTCAGTTACAGATACGTTCACCAATTGACTCCAACATGGAAGAGGTCTTTTTTACTTCCACTTTCCTTATCACCGATATGGCGGCATTCAGGGCGTCCCTATAATAAGGCAGCCTGAGGTGGTCGTCTCATTAGGCGGTAGCCGGGTGACGGTGGTGGGGGGGGGGCGGCTGCCTCAGCGTTCTAGGTTGCTAAGAGCTTTTATCAACCTACGACGCTCTAGCTGGCGTCCCACCCCGTGTTTTTTAAAATGATTTTTTACACCTAACTTTATTGCTATCGCACATAGCACAGATACAGTGACAGGTCCTCTTTATGGAGACATCAGGGATCTGTTAGATTCCTAATGACCCCTAGGAACCCCCAAAGAAGCTGAAGAAGCACAGATCTGCTTCACCAACGTCTTCTCCAGCTATGGGCTGAAATCAGAAGTGATGTAATTCCTGTCACTTCCACATTCAGTGATCGGAGGGGAAATCAGGCGCTGGAGGTGTGCTGATCTCCCTCCGATCCATCCACAGAGAGCCGCTGTGCTGGTCCTAGGGCGGCACAGAGGACAGCGGAGCCTGGGATAGCCAGCAGTGGCAGCAGAGGGAGGGAGCCATACAAGCGCTTAAATGTATCCAAGGCTAGAATTGATCAAACTTTCCCTCTGGCATGCAGGGGTGCACGGAGCTGGAAAGGACGTTTATAAACGCCCACCCGCCCTTATGCGTCAGGGCATAAATGGCTGGATAGCAAGTGGTTAATAATGAGAATGTCACAGGGTTTTCATGAATTCGCTGCAAGGCTTCCGACTACATACACACCACCAGAAATGTGTTGCAAATGCTTTATTGAGGGCTCTACTGAGTGCCATTGAACATGAGTGGCACCTCAAACGCAGCCAAAGCAATGTGGTGTGAATGGGCCCTAAGTGTACGCAGTCACTATATGATAATAACGTTCCCCTGGCGATCCTTGTTTTGTCACTGAAAAGCTGAGCCTTCCCTATATCAGCATATTTGTCTAAAGCTGGCCATACACTGTGCGAATTTCGGACGGTTCTTGATAAACCAGCCTAAAGTCATTCAGTGGGTGACCCTGTCACCAGCCTTCCGTCCAGCATCCTTCAATTAGAAAATTGAAGGAGCTGGATGGAAAATTTTCAGAGGAACAATGACTGCAGTCAATTAGCTGCTACCACTGTTCAAGTATTCTGACAGCAGCACGCCTGCCGCTGTCAGAATACAACAGCCCAGCAGGAAATGTGTCCATCCACCTTGTTTAGCATGGATGGAGGAATCTGTTTTGTTTGTTTTTGTTGTTTAGCCTGCAGCCAGCCCTATATACGTATTTATAGCTAGTTTTTACTTACATCATGAGGTTAGCATTATTTTTATATTTGTTCCAATGAAGCAAATGTGTTTCTGAAGCAAGCACTGTGTCAGCATTCTTCTTACCAGTAGAATGTTGACAACTTGAACCTATCGAAGAAGCTGAAGCAGACTTCAGGTAATGGAATTACAGGGTTTGGACCCTCCACATTCTTGTGATGAAGTGTTATTTCACTTCTTCAGTGGCTTCACCCTTTGAGGGTACATTGCATGTATTATATCATGTTCAGAGTTAATCTTCTATTTAGATATTTCGGAAGAAGGATCTTACTTCCTTTGCATCAGACAATACTTGGAAAATAATCAGTTATGTTTAATTAATTAATGACATCGGGGAGGGTGTTAACAGCGATATTTCCGTGTTTGCGGATGACACCAAAATTGGGAGGGTAATAGACACAGTCCGTGACATTATAACATTACAGGAGGACCTGGATAAAATAGGGGAGTGGGCATTAATGTGGCAGATGAGGTTTAATGTCGATAAATGCAAAGTAATGCACTTTGGAAAAATAAAACTAGAGAAGCTCAGATATTTGACTGTAGCCTGGGTAGCAGCAAGTATAGTATGTGGTCTATTTATAACAATTTGCAGAGCCACTCACCGTGGGAATCTCTGTGAATGTTTATGTGCCAACAGAGGCAACAACTTTGTCTTCAGGTTAAATTTGATGTCATACCTCATTATGGCCACTAGATGGAGCTAAAGAGCATATAAAAAAACTGTAAATAGGCATTTCCTATGCTCATTAGTTCCATCTAGAGGCCACAATGGGGTATTACATGACATTCAAACTGAAAAGAAATACAGTTTTGGCAAGACTCCGGAGCTTGGCATTAGCCATTAGGTCTACATATTTTAGATGTTCGGCTGACCCGAAGTGCAGAAGGCCTTCAACTCAACATCTGGTTCAGCTGAGCAGAAGCTCCGACAGCTCACTTGTCTGCCGTTCCCCCCTATTCACATAGGGTCCGAACGGCATTGAGTGAATAGCTGAATACCCCCGAGCGGCATTTGACTCGGCTATTCTGCTCGGTACCTCCGTGGTACCGAGCAGAATAGCAAATCAGTGAAAATAGTTTTTTTTAAAAGGTTAAAAAAATATTTAAAAAATGTAAATAGTTAAATTAAAACATAAATAAAGATTTTTTTTTAAAAAGAGAAAAAAAACAATTGGACAGAGCTAGCAGTGACAGCTAGCTCCACGGCTCGGCCGCCTTCGCCTGCTGCACTGGCTAGAGTGAACACTATATTCAACTGAACTGAAGGGCTCCGGTGGCCGAAGAAAGCCGAAGGATCAGCCGAAGCTACGGCTGGATCCTTCACCTCTGACGCGTATAACCCCTATAGTCAGTATGTATTTAAAGCTAAAATCTAGAGAAACAGCTAAATTCAGAGATGAACACACATATACTGTATAAAGGCTGTTTTACCTAGGATTTGTATTGGTATCCATTCTAGGCCTTAGATTTACATAGCTCTGCCACACAGCACAACCCTGTTTGGCGGGGGCGGGGATCCTTCTCTGCTGCAGTATTTCTTTCACTTACAGGTCTCTTTCTCACCCCTACCCAGCGACTAGACAGTGAAATAATAATCAGCACAGTGATGAGTTCATCTTCCTGTCACTCTGATTCTCCTCCTATTAGCATGTTCCTTGTATTACACTACAACAAACTAGCTCCTTGTGCTGCTTATAGCACCTTCTCTCTAAGGTAGTCAGCCGAGTGAACAACCGACCCGAAGTGAATTGAGCCAAACGTTGTTCGGCTATTCACTTCAGGCTTGTATGACTCATTTCAGCCGTATATCCGCTGAAATCAGCGTATATCGGCTAAAATCAGCCGTACATGGGCTTGCTTTGTGTGGCTTTGGGTCGTCCGAACATGCTCAGCATGTTTGGCCGACCCAAAATGCAGAAGGAGTTCGTCTCAGCTGATCCAACATCTGGATCGGCTAAGCCGAACCTCCGGCAGGCTACTCGCTGCTGTTCGGTCTATTCTCTTAGATGCCGAACAGCAGTGAGTAATTAGCCGAATGCCGCCGAGCGGTACCTCTGTGGTACCGAGCAGAAAAGAATATCTAAAAAAGTAGAAAAAATAAAATATAAAATGTTTGGGCGGAACTAGCAGTGACAGCGAACTACGCCCAACTGTTTTCTATTGGCCGGGCGGTTCTGCTGCCGTCAGAATAAAAAAGAAAAAAAAAACACCATGGGAATGCATAGCTAGATTCCTATTGGCTATTTCACTTTGCAATAGACAATAGCAAACTAGCTATTGCACCCGCCCTCTGCTGCTGTCAATCACTAGAGGGGACCTGATGGAGAACTTCAGGTACCCTCTGCTGATTGACAGCAGCAGTGGGCGGGTGCAATAGCTAGTTTGCTATTGGCTATTGCAAATCCGCCGGAGCCTTCACTGAGCAATAGATAAAAAATGGCACTCGCAAGGGAATCTGTCGATCCAATACTTTATTTGCAAAAAAGGCACATGGCTACCACTGGCTACAGAATGATGTCCCGGAAGTCCCTCCTAGAAGAGAAACTGAGAATCACGAGGCAGAAATGGAAGAACATCTGGTGTCTGAGGAAGAAGATGAAGAACAGAGTACAAACAAAAAGCAAAGATGACACTGTCCCATAAGGAGGAACCAGGAAGAATTCTTACACTGGAGGGAAGGAAGCAATTGGGAAGTTGTTTATCAACTTCTGAATTGCAGTTTCTCCTTAGGAAGGTGTCACATTGGCGGGAGCAGTAGAATGCATCAATGATATCAACAGATCAACAAAGGAATCAACAGAGAGTATTATTAAAGTGTATGATCATAGGACAGAATGAATTAAGACATATAAGGTACCAGTATTGGGGGTAACCATGGTTAATGCACTGGTGGAAAGAAAAATGGCTCCAGCAGGAGAGTGGTATAACTTTTTTCTTTAGTAGCCAAGTAAGAGAGAGGTTTTTTTTCCAGGAAAAATATGTTGTGTGTGTTAGTAAGTGAGTTGAGACCAAATGATTTGATGCTGTAATATCAATGGTGGGGGCTGATTGATACATTACTTGAGTGTTTTTTT